TATATATATATATATATATATATATATATATATATATATATATATATATATATATATATATATATATAACTGAAACAGAGCATATTATTAATTGAGTGTCTTCAAGCTTTACTGACCCTATAAAAGATGCGGGCATGATTATGTAGCTTCAAACATGATATGCTATGCCAATGCATTCGAGTTTGGTTGACATTTGCATGCGCAATTCCTTTAGCTACAGGATATCCGGTAGATCTGTTGTGATGTGAGATCTGAGGCGGTGGAGGTGCCTGGTTCCATCATGAAGTCAGCAGTGTCGCATGGGCTGTTGTGGCACTTCTCTCCACTCTCCTCCCAGTTACAAGATGGGCATGAATGGTAGGCCCAACTGCAGGCAGGCTGGCAGTCGTCGCTAACGCCGTCAAGCAGGCCTACTCGCTTCCGACGACTCGTTCTGGTCTGGGCTGTTACACCAACTCGTCACATGAGCGAGGCCATCTCAGAAAGCAGAAGACCTGCTGATATTCAGTATGAGCATGCTTTGAAACTAAATCCCAGTCAAGCCGGGGTGAAAAAGCCCTCTGGAAGGCAGTCCCATGAGCTCGAATCATATCCTTAGGAGAAGCCAACTTCAATAGCCCTTGAATCACTAAGCGACTACGCTTCTATACACAATTGCTGATAGATTTAAAACATGGGACACATGCGACTGGCTGGATGGTAATGACAAGGTTGCGTTTGATCTCGTCAACAATTCCAGCTGCACAATTTGGTTTTGGAGAAGTCTGGATTGTTTTATACTCACTTCTGCTCTGTAGCCTACCAGCGTCCGCCTCCACGATGCGATAGAGCATATTTGGGCGCGAGGCTGAAACTGATGTCCATCCTGACTAAGATTACCTTTTCCGACCCGGGATCTATTCATTCAATTGTAGGAAAGGCTCCACAATCTTTTCCTATAGAAATTGTAGTGTCCTTGCGTGATTAAGTTTCTCATCAAGAAGACCCTCAGTCCGAGTTCCCCGATGGCGGACCGAGACGATGTTGCCTGGCACCCGTTATTTAGCCTCTGCTGATGGAGACAACCATTTTCCGCTACCTATTGTAGGCGTGCTTTTGTGATTTCCACCCGGAAACTCCTGCTCAAACAGACTCTGATCAGACTTTTTTCCTCAAAGCCCTTGCCCAATCCTGTGCGACTGCCTCTGTCGCCAGAGGAGTGTGATCTTAGCAACACAAAGCGATGATCCGAATTAATTTCGTCTCCCGGGCTAAGAGGTCGAAGGACCGTTGACAAAGTTGCTTCTGTAGAGCGTTTAAAGTGATGGATAAATCCCACTTGCCGACCAATCCTCCTCATCGATTGTTTGTTTGTTCTTTTCTGCCATCGGTCCTCATGCGACATTTGCTTTTCCGCCTTTTCACCTTATCAGTTATGCAATCTGCAGGCGTTGCTTACCACTTTGAAGTCTCCACTTGAATCGATAGAAATAACTGCTTTTGCCCTCCTGTTGGTTGGACTTTTGTCCACCTTCACTTCGTTTACTCTCACCTCGAATAGCCGGTCCACTTTTTCCCAACCCAGCCTCGTCTTGCCTGCCTCCGACAGTTTTACGCCAAATCCTCCCTTCTCGCCGATTCGCATCCTCTCTTCCCACCGGCCATGCCTTGGGCCCCATTTGCATAATCCGCCCTTGCTTTGGAACTGCCAACTTGCCGATCCCAGTCCTTCGCTCGTCCTTGTCCAATATCTGTTCGCCAATTCGGCGACTCTCATCTTAAGCCGTTCACTGTACACTGAGCCAACTGTCCCATAGTGAAGCCTGTTTTTTTTCATTCTCGGTAGTCACGCCGAATACACTCCACTTCACTACTCCCCTGCCTTGGCAACTCACGTGTGCCCATCTGCATCCACTGAAGACGGATGGACGGAATTTTTACTTTGTATCTTAGCGCGGCATGCACTTTGGCCCTGAATTTAGAGGGATTTTTATAGGAATATTGTATAAAACGTATAAAAATATTTAGAATTTTTCGCATTTGTAATAGGGTCTGTCGTCATTGTTTACTTGTTTTCGATTGACTGTGAGTATACTCTCGATAAAATGTAGACGAGCATTACTTTGCAATGAAACGCATCTTGTCCAGGCTAGAGGGTACTTTCAACCTCGTCCAGCTCCGAACCACTCCCAAGGCGAGAATGCAACTGCAGACTTGTGGCTTCTGAAGACAACATACGTTACCGCCGAGATGGGATGAGTCAAGGCGCGAAGTCTACGATTCCAATCCCACTGGATACTTTGATGTGACTTGGGCGAGGTAGGAACCGTAGTCTGGGATGCATTGCAGAATATGGCCTTCACTTCCGAAATGCCCACAAAAATGATGGATCTTAAAAATCATCGGATTTCTGGCCTATGCCAACAACCAGTTACCGAAATATCTTCGTTTGCCCAAATACTAACTGTGTTTCAATGATGACACATTGCGGAGATTTGTAGGTTGATATCATCAGCGCCTGATTCTGGTTGTTCTGCACCCCGTTGGCATTAAATCGAAGTTCAGGTTGACGCATTTCACGCGAAATCTTTCCTCTTTTCAGATTAAAAGTGCTGAAACCTTCTTTATCTGCCGAAACTTAGGAGGATATCTCGTGGACTGCTTCAATCTGAACGTTGTATTAAGACCAAATGACTGCATAACAACGAAAGTCAGCCATCTTCTTCTGATAATATCGATTTGCGACTCTTCATCATGCACCAACCTACGTATTAAATTTCCCAACAGCAAGGTTTCATTTGTAAAAATAACTGGGTTTCGAAGACTTTTTAGTAATATACTGTGATATGACTTTCCATATCAAAGGAAAAATAGGTTCGAAGGAATTCGTGATGTTTGCTTGAATATATTCTTGCTCTATTTCCTAAAGTATGGACTTTTGCTCTGATGATGTCTATCAAAATACAGACGAAAGCTTAGCAAAGATTCATCAGGGTCGTAGGACGGTGAGCCGAAGACAATAAAATAGTCTTCACCAGGCGGCGATCTTTCGGTTTCTGGTGAAAACAGGTCACGAATTCTTCCAAATCAACTTTTACTTTAAAATGGAAAGTCACGTGACAAAGCATCATTTGCACATTAAGGTTTGACTTCGATTTCGCAACGTAGTCATGTTGTCGGCGCGGCGCAGTTGAACGAATCTTGTCCGAAGTTCTCTGTTAGCGTACTTATTATAATTCCAATCACCGGGCCGTTGATTTGGTACATTCCCAGACATTTTGCTGGCATCGTCAGCGAGTCTGAGCACCAAACTACATTTCGTTAAAGAGATAAGTGAAGTCTATTCATTGACCAACATTATGCCGAATGGTTGTCTTATCACTCTTGTTATTGTGCACTTAATTTCTTCTATCCTCTTATCTCCTTCACTCGCTATCACATCTTATAAGTTGTTTATATTAGACTATTCTAGAGTTGTGTCCTTTTTGGCGAATGAGGTACCACGATTTGGGGTAAGTGGCTTTACCGGGACAGACGGACTGATACCAATACCTTTCGATAGAAATTTCGTGAAGGGATTGACTTCATTTGTCTCTTTAGCGAGTTGTAGCTTGGTAGCAAGGATGGCAAGACTCACTGACAATGCCAGCCAAATATTTGGGAATGCACCAATTCGGCAGCCCAAAACTGGGAATTATAATAACTTTATTATTGAGGACTTCGGCTAGTTTGTGTTGACCTAGGTCGCCGTGACAATACGAGCAATTTACAAAGACAATGCCAAATCACTTTTATACGGAGAAGATAGACTGCGGCCAAAACAGTGGCCACAACATTTTGGTTCACAAGTATGAATAAATATGAATACCTTTGAGTATATATGAATACTACCTATCTACAAGTATGAATAGTGTTAAAAAACTATCAGTTGACCTTGGGCTGTTACCTTAGGTAGATTAAGATGCAAAGGTGAGTTGTACACTTATAAACAATCAGAAGGCCTCTTGCTGTCAGGCCGGCTGAAAAAGTTCTAGCAACATCACTAAGTCTTTTCCTCCTTTGAATGTGTTTAATTCCCTTAGGAAGACTTAAGGTAACCATACTTCTTAAAGAAAGTAAATTTTACTTGTTTTTAAAAAACTCATGTTACGCATTGCTTGACCCTTGACTGGCATTCTTAGCCAAACTGGAGCGCATTTTCCACTTAACCTCATTTTTATATCAACCTCCTTGAAGTAGATACAAAACAGGGGTCTTGGTCGTCAAGCCGCAAAATAATTACACCGCCACACGGTCTCCACCGCTAGCTGGTCTCAGGGCAGATGTGACTCTCAAGGCAAACCTGCACATTTGCTATTCCTATCGACGATATTATTCCGCCATGTTGGTTTGAGAAATTTATATTTATAAATACTGATTATTTCGGCGACTGTTTAGTTGATTTGAGTTTTAAATCTTTTATTGGCTTGATACTAGGACGATAATAATGTAAATTCGAGTCCCATGAAATGATGCTGAGACCAAGGCGAGATAGGAATTGCAGTCCATGCAGGATGATAAAACTTTCTGAGAGGCAAGGTTTGTTTAAATTCATTGGACTAGGGTGGTATACTCATATCCTTCATGTAAAATATCTCCTTGTATTCCTTGAATCATCCTAACCCACCTTCAGTGAACAAGTTTCTATTCTAACTTGTCTTATAATTGCATCTTTTGATTTCGTCGGTCCCTTTTAAGATCGTTGCACCTCTGTGACTACGTTAAGGTCTCATGTCATAATCTCCCACCACAGACCATATTCTTTTCCACATTTGGA